AGTGCTGAAAAGCAACCATGCGTGTAAGAAATTGTGTGCTACCTAAAATTTCACCTCTGGAAACTTTATCCCCATAAAGGACTTCACCACAGTTTTTTTACTGGATATACTGAGACGATAAATCTCTGCTGAAATCTGCGCACAAGTTAAACACGTTTTCAAGAGTTCCTGACAAATGAATTTATGGCTGCATTTCTTTATTCATTCTGAACGTTTGGAATAAACTTTTTTGTTTACTTATTCTTTAGAACGTTCCTGATGATATGTTAACGTATATTTCAAACGCATTCTGTTTATTCCGGCTATGAAATGGGATTATCCGGAATGTATAAAGAAACGCAGCCTATATGTCGTGCGTACAAGCATGCATTTTTCCATATTTTGCATTAATGAAAAATAAGCCTTGGGTATGCCCGTTAATAGTGGTTTTAATTCTGATACTTCAGAATCAATTATAACTCTCGAGTTTAGTAAGACGGATAGCTTTTCGTAAGGCAAACAGCAGGGTCACTAAATCTAAAATGGTTTTTAAGAGCATCGAAGCTGATAGCTAACTGAGTTAAACGCTTTGGAGAGGTCCAAAAGGCATAATGGTGTCGAGTGGGTTTTTTTCACGATGTCATTGAAGTACGACTGTCGGAAGAGAACGGCTAAAAATAATCAGAATAAAATTGATCATCTCTTTTTTTTTGCAGACATTTGACCGAGTAGCTTTTGGACAGATAAGTAATATTGCTGCCTCTAATTTATCTACGTTGTTCCTGCAACTGACAGTCGAGGATATGGGTATTTGTGTACCATTAAATCAGCCGGCAAACGTAAGAAAAAATTTACTTTCCAAACCAGATACATATATACTAGCTTATTTTAACTTATTAATGCTGTTTTTAATAGCCCTGGAATACACGAACTTTTCACGACTTCGAAAGCAAAGGCGCTGTCGTCATAACATTGGAGAACACAATCATATCTGCTTGCAATTCCGGTTCATTGGTATCCAAAGGCAAGTTTCAGGGCTTGTGCCTTAGGTTTGCTGACGATTTCGAAACAACCCTCGATGATTGGAAACCTAATGCTAATGAACCTATAATGAACGTGTGCGTCGTTTCTGAAGGGACGTATGAGGTGTGCTCTCGTACCACTGCTGCTAAGAAACTGGAAAATGCCAAATGGTTACTAAATGTTAAGTGGCAAATGGAAGGTGTTGATATACACCTCGATATAAATATAGGGAAACAACTTTCCTCACTCGGTCACACGCTTACGATGTTGACCGGCTTTGAGGAAGAAGATACAAACATGGAATCCCCGGACAGCGATGAGGGTGATCACAGTTGTCGGGATACCTATGTGCGCCGGCGGGAATTTGATAATCTGCCATCGTTCGTGTTCGATCCGACTATCGATTCGAAGAAGCGGTCTTTCATGATGGAAAAAGAAATGGCGGAGCAACTGAAAATTATCAATGATTTGCGCACGCTTGGTGCCTCACACAATACCGTGGCACATGAAGAGCGTCGGTTGCAAGAACTGCAGGCGATTTGTTACAAATATTTCCGACGCGATATGATTCAGAAATGGAAGCGCCCCTCTATGCGTCGTTCAATGAAGACTTCAAGTCGCTCTTATTCCTTTATTGGCGCCTCAGGAAATCGCGAGCCGGCCGATGATACCCTGATGCCTGGACCATATAGCGGTCGTCGTTTAGATCCCATAGCATCTAATGATGAAATTTCCAGTTTGCAAAGCACGCCAGTTTCCGGACATTCAAGAAGTGCTTCGTTGAAAACATGCCCTACCAATCGAGTAACCTTCTCCGAATCCATGCGCCAGACCTCACTGCCAAATGCTGACACGGACAGTGAAGATGTTGATTGGCGCACACAAGAATGTCACGGCGAATCGACGCCAAGTGAAATAGACATAGATGGCACTTCGGTAGAAATGCGTAAAAAGCATGGCTACCAACAAAAACAACAAGAACCCAATATAGATTTTGAGCTAGATATTAAAGCGCTAGTCAATTCTGGCAAATGTGTCCTCCACACCAAAGAGTCCGCCGAAGATCGTTTGATTTTAAGTGGTCCGACAGCAGTGAAGACACATAAACGAGAGCGCAGCCTGGGCAACGACTGGGGCAGTCCGACGCCATCACGGCGGCAGCGCGATAAAAGCAAGTTACGTTATAACACCTCGAGTAACGCAATGTTATCTGATCTCACCATATTCCACATTCCCGGATTGGATGTCAAACTGCACTATCAGTCCCGTACCATAGTTGATTTGTCAGAGCATTCTCGCAGCATGAGCTGCGAAAGTCATCATACAACGCGCCGGATCGGCAGCAAACGGGCTTCGTTGTTCGCCTGGATGACATTGCAGAGTATACCAGAAGAAACTATAATATCGCCACATATATTGGAATTCTTAGAGCAAACCTTGGAACCTATACCTACCAAAACTCCTAACTATACTGGCGCGACTATAGCAAACCCAGTAAACTTGGATATTCTGCCTACAAATTACGTCACCTATGCTTCTTTTCCAGTAGATGTTATTGTCTACTTCCACATGCAACCATCGACTTTCCGCTTCTCTTGCTTGCCCGTGTCGCGTGTGGAATGCATGCTACAGTTGCCAAGTTTAGATATAGTATTCAGCTCCAAACGTTCGAGCGATGAAGATCCAGGTCAGCAGGAACATGCTTTGGATAAAACCTCAACTGAAAAAGATAAAATGCCTGCTGGTGGCCTAAGGTAAGCAGTTATTCAGTTAATTTCTTCAAAAAAGTATAAAGTCATATGTGTGTGTGTTCTGTTTTCGTAGTATTACTGGCTGTTTGGCGGATTTTAATGTTTATATCTTCCACCCATACGGCGGCAAGAAAAGCAATGTCAAAGAAGCACAATTCTCGCCTCTCTCTGATAGTGAACGTAAAGATTCATTGAGCATAAATGTAGAATTTGTAAAATTTCAATTGACCCGTTGCCGCAAAATATACGTTGAGCCAGCTGTTATGAGTAAACGTGTAATGGATAACTCGCTCGCCGTCATACGTTTTTCAACTATTGTTGACATCGGCAGTGCTTCTTTCAAGTACGATATGCGCCGTTTAACCGAAATCTTAGCTTTTCCGAAGGCTTGGTATCGACGTCGCATAGTGCGTCGATTATTCCTTGGCGATTTGAGCATGCAACACATGGCCGGCACAGAGCCTGTCACACCAACTGGTATGCCATCTACGCCTAAAGATGCCAACGGCAACAGTGGCGCTTGTAAGATACCCGGTTACGAATATGCCAGGTCACCTTCGGATGCATTCTATAGCAAAGGCAAAATGCGGCTTGACTTCGATTCCCAATCGTCTACTCCACAGCAGCCAGCACATTCTGGTTCCGTGCGTAAACTACGTTCATTGGAAAAATCATCAAGTGCAGAATCATCAAGCACACCTTCTGAGAAAAATCAAATTACTGCTTGGGAAACACTAGTTCTATTCGCTATAAATTTTACTAAATTGAATGTACAGATGAATATGGGTAATGTAATGGGAAATGTGGTGTGGTTAACTAAGGACTTCCAGTCAGATGGCAGGCTCTCTATTGGCAGCACTGGCTATAAAAATATGTACATTGGCATATATTTGGGTGGCTCTTCACTGGACGCTAAAGGTGGCATCGTCGGTGGTAGCTTTGAAGTGAATAAAATCAATACTCGTTTCCACATTAAGGAAGAATCTGGCGTGGAGCCCTACCACACCATACGTTTGAGTTTTGTGGCTTTGGAGCTACGACTAGACTACATGGGCACATCGGTATTGATGACGCGTATTAGTTCATTTTCGGCCGCGATGAAAGACGAATGGAAGACGTCAATAAATACGCTGTCTACTACAGATTATGGTGGAAGTATGGCCACAGTGGGTGGATATACCACCAAACCTCGAGCTATCATTTTCATACACGGTGATCTATCTTGGGATCAGGTAAATGAGTTTTTAAATTTAATTTTATTTATAAACGAAAAGAAATTAATGGGGGAAGAACAAATTAGTCCGAATTTTACACGCCATTCATCATAACGAAAGACGCAAATTTGTATGCCAATTTATAGAATTGAAAGTTTAGAAATTTTACATTTGTGCATTTTGTTATTGAACAAACTATCGTCATCAACATCAGCTTATAGAAATAAAATTTAAAATCTTTTCATTCTATGCAAAAATTCTCTATACGTTAGACTATATGTATGCATATGCATATAGAAATTAATTTCTTAATTAATTATTTGTATCTACTTATTCATTATTTTTTACTAATTTTTATATAATTTTTCCAGTTTAATCATAGGCAAAGCAAATATAAATTTTTAAGAGCTTTTTCTACTATGCGCAACAAATCGACACACTTGTACAATTATAGAAAAGTGGCAACTGTTAACTAGCGCGATTCACGTATACCATGACAAAACTAGGCTGTGTGGGTGGGCCCATCTCACCATATCATATGCTTTATATGCAAGAAAAAACACACAAAAAATATTAAGAATCAACGCAACAAAAGAATAGTAGGAGATCCGACATAGGCACGACCTTCACCCATCTGTTTAATGGATGAAATCTGCTTTGTATGAAATTTAACGTGTTAGGAAATATTTCGCGAGTGGGTTGTCCGAAAATATCCTGGCCAGGGTATTTTTAATTGGAACAAATGCACAATACTACCAAATCTCGAATTAAAAAAAAAAAAAATAGGATCGATAGAGACCATTGAGGTGAACATAACGGTATATTTATTTTTTTTGGAAAACAACAACTACAACAATTATTAAAGGTCAAAGTTCAAATTAAGCATTTTCTCAAATTAATATTTCTCGAAAACCTCTTCAAGGAATTGGACAATTTTGATGTCATTTGATAGAGAATTTAATTCTCTTTAATTTGATATACATATTTATACATATACCTTTTTATAGTTTTCACGAAAATGGAATTAATGTGGAAAAAAGGTATACAGGGTTTTTGTGTTTAAACACCTTTCTCCGTAGGCGGCCTTCGGCCGCACTTATGGATTATAACCCTCACAAAGTA